GGGGGGGGGGGGGGCTGCGGGGGCCGGGAGCGGCCCCCGCCCTCCAGTCTGGGCGACAGAGTGAGACTCCAACTCAAAAAAAAAAAAATTTGTATTTTTTTCTTTTTGAGTTGGAGTTTCACTCCGTCGCCTAGGCTGGAGTGCATCGGCACGCTCACAGCCACCGCAGCCTCCACCTGCTGGGTTCAGGTAATCCTTCTGCCTCAGCCTTCCAAGTAGCCAGAACTACAGGCGTGCGCTACCGTGCCCAGATAATTTTTTAATTTATTGTAGAGATGAGGTCTCACCAAGTTGCCCAGGCTGGTCTTGAACCCGCGGGCTCAGGCAATCATCTCACCTTGGCCTCCCAAAGGCTTGAGCCACCACGCCCAGCCAAATGTCCACTTTGGAATCCAAGCGGCTTGTATGTTTAGCCCAACCTAGCTACAGAAGAGTGCAGGTTTTTAAGTTTTTCTAAATGACTGTTCTAATACAACCAAAATGGCCTCTTTTCAGTCTATAACACTGTGGGAAGGTGTACGGAAAGGACACTCTCCATCCAGAATGGGAATGTGCCAGCTTTACAAAGCCCTGGCTTGCTTATTTAGAATGAGACCAGCCCTTGGCCTCTCTGTTGGAGGGTCAGGGAGAAGGGGGCAGGCAACTCCAGGGCTGAGAATCCAGCACAGGCCAGATTCGGTCACTGACTGGTTTCATAGGTACCTACCCCTGAATGGGCCTCAGCTTTCCCATCTGTACGAGAGGCTTATGTGGTCTCTTGGTCCCTTCTAGTTCTGGCATATTCTAGGAGTAACTGCACAAGCTGCTTATTGAAGGGGAAGCAACTCCCACTGATTTCCTAAACCACCGCATGGTTTATAAAACACCTTCAAATCCCTTATCCTTTTTATCCCTCATGGCAAGCCTGGAAGGAGCCAGGGCAAGGTCTGCAAGCCCATTTTACAGATGAGGAAAGAGGCTGAGAAGCATCCTCAGGAGCTGTAATTTGAGGCTGCACCACGTGTGTGTGTGTGTGTGTGTGTGTGAGTGTGTGTGTGTGTGTGTGTCTCTAAGTCTCCCAGGCTGGAGTGCAGTGGCATGATTGTGGCTCACCGCAGCCCTGACCTGGCTCAGGCGATCCTTTCATACTGGCGCGCACCACCACGCCCAGCCAAATTTCTTCCTTTTTTTTTACATTTATTTTATTTTATTTATTGTTATTTTTTAATCAATATTTTTTATTTTGATATTGTGGGGTACAGTTAAGGATTAGGTATACAAATATGTTTTGTTCAGCCACCCTTGTTGATAAGGGGTGTCTCCCCGCAAATTTCTTATTTGTATTTTTTTGTGTGTGAGTTGGTGTCTCACTCCGTCGCCCAGGCTGGGCTCTGCGACCCTCCCCCTCAGTCTTCCAAGTGGCCCGAACTACAGGCGCGCGCTCCCACGCCCGCTCACTTCTTTCCGCCTCGGGCCTCCCAAAGTGCTGGGGTGACGAACGGAGCCACCGAGCCCGGCCTTGATTCGACGTCTTGCGGGTCGCCCCCAAGAAGACGGCGAACGGGTCGACAAGTCGTCCACACGCGCGTCCCCGCCCGGGGGACGCCCGGCCCAGGGCCAGCCGGCTGACCTGAGCAACGCGCAGCCCGACGGAGACGGCCCAGGGCCCGGGATCCCGGGCATCCTCGTGTTGGCCACCCGCCCCTCCGCCCTCCGCGGCGAAGCGTGGAGTTCCTCCGATGGCGGACGCTTCGTATCGTGACCTCGGTCGCCCCTCTGGCCCCTGCGCGCTGGTCATAGCCGCGAGAGCCTCCG